CTCCCCCCCCCAATCCATCCTCCGATCATGCTCCTGGTTCTTGTGTTTGCCTCTGTAAGGCTTTTGTTGTAGAATAGCAGATACTTTTGGGTTTTAGTAGGTATGAAGTCGTAATTGTGGCTATTAAATCGGATACGAGTAGAAAGCGTTTGGACAAGTGAAGAAAGGGTATCCGGGTATGCCCCAGTTCTACTGCGGATAGTAGACCATACCGGATGTCTGTTGGGGATAGTAGAAGCCGTCAGGGCTGGGTGTCACCATGCCACCCATACCCATGACACTGGGTTGGTAGCCTTGAGGCGCAGGGTAGCCAGAATAGTTGGTAACCGGCGGCAGCTGTGACGCTTCGAAGTAGTAAACCATCCCATTCGCTTCTTGGACCACTAGACTGGACCCGGGAGCAGGGGGTGGGCCGTTGTTAGACATCACGGGCTGCTCGGGCTGATTTTGAGGCGTGAAGCTGCCAGGAGGACCTGGCTGGCTGGGCACAAATGCAGGTGCAGTACTGGACGGTCCCATATTGGGAGTGTTGTAGTTGGGTGGATAGTAGTATCCCTGCTGAGGCTGCGCTTGATATGGCTGCTGGTTGTAGTAAGGTTGCTGACCATAAGTGTTTGGCTGGAAAGGAGCAGCATGAATGGCTCTCTCAGGAATCTGAGACAAAGGCGTACCAGTAGAATGCTGAGATGGATAAGACGGCTGGCGAGTATGTGATTCTTGAGGCAGGCCATTAGCCATTTGAATAGGCACCTGCTGGTGGAAGGCCTGCTGATAAGCCTGGGGGCCTTGCGTCAAGGTGGGTGACTCGATATCAGCAACAGATATGTTCTTCTGTGGACGAGGCTGATGCATGGGCAGAGCTGAGGTGGGCCGATTCTCCTGGAAAGCAGGCTTTTGAGGAAGGGGGTATGTCTGAGGTGGAGGCAGATCGTTGATTGATGTCTCCAGTGCGTGAGGTCTCTCGACACCAAAGGCAGGATCGGCTGGCCCATAAGCAGAAGCGGGAGCAGCCATTGACGGGACCATTGTGTTCATTGGCATTTCAGGACGAGGAGCAGGAGGTAGTCGAACAACCGGTCGAGTATTCTCAACAGGGATAGGGGGCCGTGAGATAACGGAGCCTGTGGGCGAAAACATGTAATCACGGTCCACGATGGAAGACCGCCTGCTCATTGCCACGCTAGGAGAATACACGCTGCCATAGTAACTACCTCCAAAAACACTTGTTCGTCTCGAGAAACCACCCATCGAGCCAAAGCCAGAACGAGGTTTTCCTCGCATTCGCTGCTGGTTGGGTCGCATAGCCCGGGGGATAAAGATGAAAGATCTATCAGCGGCAGGGTAGATATATCGAGGAGGATTGTTGGGTAGCGAGATACGGACAGGTTTGTCCCGACGCAGAGGTGGCCGATGATCGGGGAGCTTGGTATACTGCTTCACGGCAAGACGTGGAATGACAACCGGCCCTGTCATAGACGGAAGGGACACCCGGACCTGTGCGTTACCGATATGCTTCTCAGTGGAGAGAGTGCGGTTGATTGGAGTCGGGTTTGGATCACATGTCGGAATGAAGCCATTTCCGTTGGCTGGGCCCTCCTGTTCCACCATGTGTCGAGGGCGTGCTGGAGGTGCGGGCTCTACGACGGTGTCGTGCATATCATGTGCCCATGGAGAGTTGGTCGTAGGGTCTGCAGGCTGGTGCAATTGGCTATGTATATCAGTATATGGATGAAGTAAGGAGTGGGAAGGCATTATCATACTTGATGGGAGCAAAAGGGCCTCCAATACCACCACGGCCACCTCGACCTCGACCTCGACCAAAAGGACGAAATCCATTTGCTGCGGGCCCGGCATGTCTGTGGTCGTGCATGAAGAAGGCGCCACGGTTTGGGACGAAAGCTGGGTCCTCATCTCTCTTGCGTTTGTAATCTTCGTGCTCTTGTCGACGTCTGTTTGCAGGAGCAGCAGGTGGCCTGGCGGATGCTGAGCTCACTACTATGGGGGCAGCAGGAGACTTGCTGGGTGACGGGGCAACGACCTCGTCAAAATGCATCTCCTGTACTGGGTGGGATTGGTCTGTGATGGACAAACCGTGCAGCATCACGTCCGTATCGGTAACAGGCTTGCCGTTCTGGCCGGGGCCGGAACCGGACCCCGACTTATGGCTATGGCCGGCATGCTTGGCAGCGCCATTGACCTTCCTCCTCGCATTCGGAGACGTTGGCGAGGCCTCGTCAATGTTGCTGGTATCGCTATCATCTGCAGGATCATTGTCGTCTGTCAGGGAGCCGTCGGTGATGGAATCGTCATCGAGGTCGAGGGTCTCCGGGCCTGCCTCGTCTTCGCCCTCGTCCTCAACACGGCGACGTTGACCGATAAGCTTCCTACGTCGAGGAACAGAGGAAGCCATGATTGCGCAGCGGTGAAGGAGACGGAGGAGCCGACAGAGGGGGCTTCGGAGACTCGATGATATGGGTGCGACGGGGTTCGCGGGTCATACGGCGGCGGAGGCCGGAGAGGGAAAGCGATAGAAACGGTGGGATGACGAAACGATCGATAAATGCTTGATACGCCGGAGGGAAACCAGAACCGGCCGGCGGCAGACGATGAAAATAATCCAGGAGCCAGATAATAGATGAAAATAAGTCGTAACGGACAAAAAAGTGCAGCAAGCAAACACACGCTAGACGAAGGAACCGATCGAAAACGAGAGAGGGGGATGACAAGAGATGGAAATCGTTGTCAGCTCTCAGCCGCGAATGGTTGCAGTTGTAGTAGTTGTATAAAAAAAAAAAAAAAAAAAAAACTGCAAGCACGGGCTTTGTCGTGGATGGAGAGCGAGTCGTCGAGTCGAGTCGAGTCGAGGCCAGACCAGACGGGACAGGGAACTTGAAGCCGGGCGAGGAGGAAGAGATGGCGTGCGGAGGATGTGGAGGTGGAGGAGGGAAAAGAGGGAGAGAGAAAAGGGAAGGGAAGGGAAGGGAAGTGTAATGTAAATCTACAGCAAGTAACCTAGAGGATGGGGGACGGATAACCTAGAGGTAGTTCGGTTGGTGGTGGTGATGACTTCTGTCCTGTCCCTGTAAGGTAAGTAGGTAAGGTAAGGATGAATGGTATGGTATGGCTGGGTTGTCCAGTCCAAGAGAAGATTTGCTAAGGCACTGTAAATCGGATCGCCAGAATCCATCTGCTGGGTCAGGTCCTGGTAGCATGGGTCTCCCCAGTCGATGAGGCCCAGCCCCAGAGACAGGCAGCTCATACGCCGCCTATGAGGTGTCGTGGAGGGAGCTACTGGATTGTTACTGATGAGCTGATGGGCTTTTCAAGAGCCGAAGTACCACACAGGCTGCTCTGTGGTGTACGGTGACATTGGATGTCAGACCAGTGTCTTGTTCAGATCAGCTTAGTACCTGGCCTAACTTTAGGGTAGGCCTCCATACCTGGAAAAAACATTTGAGACAAGCCCAGGGCTTCCATGTGGATCCTAACAACTATCGTCTATCCAACACGATCAGCTTGATTCAGATCATCATAGCATCAACATCGGGAACAGAGACATCTTATGAGCAGCTTGAGATTTTATAGGAGCTTGCTATTCCTACCTAAGTAGGAGGTAGGTACTCCTAAACTTTAACCCAAGTTACTGGGCAACACACCAAACTTCACCACTACACTCGTCCCGCTTTACCTGTGACCAACTGGAGGCTCAACTCAACACATTAGGTACGCGGCTCACGACTCACAACACGGCCTTGCTGGAGCACCGCAGGATACCATAACGTTGGACGAACAACCGTCACCTGATGGAAGTCTGTATTTGGTCTCTGCATCGCCTTTAGGGTGCCATGTCTGCTCTGACTCTCTTGCGAAGGTAAAAACGCAGCTATGAGCCACACTGTCTCAAGAGAAAGCTCCCCCATTATTCCAGTGACTGTGTAGGTAGGTACCTTACCAGACACAGTAAGGTAAGGCAAGGTATACCAGGCACTACCTTAGCACGGAGGAGGTACTGTAGCTTGGTGTTGTTTGGTTGCCCCACGCCAGCTCCCCAAGATAAGGCGGTCCAGCTACACAGTTGCCAGCCAAGCTTCTCATTCTCACATTCGAGCATTCTCACATTCGAGACGTTAGACTAGACCAATCAGCATGATCTACCATCGTCCATTTCAATTGCTGTGCATATGTAGTCTGTACGAATCGGGCAGTTTTGCAACAATAAGACACCCTGATCGATTATATGCCGAGATCGCAATCGTGGTTACTAAAAACTCATCATATGTCTCACTTCGAGCTGCCTGAAGCTTCAAGCTTATCTTTCTATCTTATTGCAGTTTATAATTAACACTCATTAGGTGGTCTCTTGGTACAGGGTATGTGTAACACCAAGGTTCATCATGATGATATCAATCAATCAGCTCAGACATGCAGAGAGTAGATCCTTCACATTTATAACGTTTGTCATTTTTCGAATATGTTCTTTTTGCAATACCTGGTGAAAATACGGATACCGAATCGGGGTTAATAAAAGACAAGTGGTTGACTGTACATCTAAAACACGACAGCCCTATCTTAAAGACTGGTAAGTTTTTGGAAGAGTCTACTCCCCGAGGTAGTACTCTAGTTTCTTATTTCAAGATTCATTTTGGCCTTTGATACTTTGTTATAATAAAGGAAAGAAAACCTCCAAATCAACTGGAAACTTGAATGTTCCCCCAAGTTGCGTCAGGCATGGTATCAAATACCTCCTTGAGACTAGAAAATGTCGTAGAAAACAGTTCTTTACTATCAAGCTGCGAGTCCGATGTAGAAAGTCTGAGAAGATCCAAAATAAAGAATAAGAGAGCGAAGAGTCATCTCAAAAGGGGCCAGAAGACAACAAACAGGGAAAAGAACCAGAACTAGAACCAGGTTAGCCGGGAGATCAACCTGGCGATCATAGACCCGAGTTGATAACAATTAACCATACACCCCTTGTTGCGTTTCACTAATATCCTGGTAGCACCAAGTAACTACCCATCAAGAAAGTATTCTCACAAAGAATCATGTAGCCGAATAAGGTCACCTGAAGTAACCAAAAATAGCAAGCCTGGATAAAGAAAGTGTATTCTGGTCATACTGGAAAGTAGAGAGAGGCACCACAGACTAACTCCAAAGCATAACTGGTTTAGCCACTCAAGAGAAATCTGAGAAGCAATTCTCAGATTCTATATAGAGTATGTGTTGGTATATACTGCAGTGACAAGCCTTCCGTGAGCTGTACCCATGCATCACCTCGCCATTTGAATCAACAGCAGGAAAGGCCACTCGTTGATACTTGATGGTGTCTTGCATTGGTCTTCTCAAAAGACTTCGTACCTCGCTGTGACCTCCAAGATAAAGCAGGCTCTGGAAACACGGGGTAATTAGCTGTATACCTCCAAAAGGGTGGGAATATTGTCCTTCCCTGGAGAGAGACAGAGATTCATACTGACCCTGCGGTCATTTTTGCTAGACTTGGGCTATTACGTGAAATATAGTAAAATGACTCGCAACTGAGCAAACAAGCAATATCTATATCACCAGGAAGACTGCCAATATCTTCTTAGCAAGAACAACTTCGTGGCGATTGTGTATCATGTGTCAACACTGAAGCTCATTCTTCTGCCTCTTATCTTCAACCACCGTGGGGTTACATATACTCTAGTTGTTAGTCAGATAATTAATGCAGGGAAGCCATCCTCATCCTACATACAGCCACACGGTGAAGATAGAACGTGGCCTGAATACAATCAGTTCTATTTCATTGCCTTACCTTAGACCTACTGATAGCTCGAGAATATATACAAATATCCACCACATGAGGCATCTGATACTTTCCAACCTACAAACCCCCCTCCCCAGGGTTCACCTCAGTCCAGCCTGGCCCAAACTACCTTGGGAAGCCAAGCATAGAACGCCAGAAACCCTGCCATTCAATTCTAGGTATGTACCCCACGATTTCAACCATCCTCTCCAAGAGCCAATCACAGCATAACGTCGACTGACGCCATCCCCCCTCTATCTTAGCCTCAATCCCGGGGTGAAGGGAAGCTCTCCTTCTGTGATATTCTCTTTTTTTAGAAGAGAGAACCGCCGCAATCGCAATTGGGTCCCAATGGGAAACTCTCGCTTCCCACTCTCCCCACACATACGGTGATGCAGTCCTTTTAACGTTAGTTGTCTGAATCTGGCCTAAGCTGGTGGAAAACGGCGGCATAAGGGAAGGGTAGTTAGTAGGTAGGTTGCTTTGAGCTCCGTGACCTCGGCCGTTTAAATTCGCTATCAATGCTTCAGTGGGGAATGGATACTACCTGGAAAGGCGGGGAAACTTGCTCTGCTCTATCATGATATTGGGGTTTGAAGCTGACGAAATCACCTCCATAAAGGCTCATTCCTGGTATTGCATAACGTAGACCGATAAGTATAGATACGACACAGCTCCCGACTTATCTCACAACTTCATGAGACCAATTGATATCAGATACTAGAAAAGATCCAACCTTATCATGAACAGCTTCCCCTCTTTACAACAACCACTGAGTTTATCTCCAGTGGATCCCACTGCAACGTTGGTAGGAGTTAAAGGCAGGGCAAGAAAACGTAAGACGTTTATCCTGGTGACAAAAAGACTTGGGCAAGTTTAGCATAGCTCGGTGAAGGTTTAGTACACCTTTGATCAGATATTTTTGACATCTTGGGTCATCGTCAGAGGTTTTCTTGCTCCTTCTAAATGTTAGGCGGGCGGGGGAGTGACAGAGCCGAGTTCACAGCGGAGTTCCGGCCTGCGCTACCTTAGCCAAGCCCCAAGCGAAGGCGCCAAAAGAGCTCCCTTGTCGAGTTGTCACTCGTTACCCAAAGCCCGTTTTGTCTCCAACAGCCGATCGTCTGCTCATGACCTAATTCTCTAAAACCCCCTCCACACTCACTCTCTCAACAAGATCTATCCATTCCTCTCGCGCCCAGCTCCCTTTGCGCCGAATATTCTCACCTTTTATAGGTAAGGTAGTCAGTCGATCTCTCCCGGAAACTGCCAGCTTTGGCCCTCGCCATTATCATCATGGCCAACCTCCCATCGCAACATCCCACCCTCTCTCTCCATCTCTCCGACGTCACCCTCACCCCGCTCATCACCTCGGCCTCGTCGCAATCGCATCTTGAATCCCTCACAGCTCTCACTTCAAGCGCCCTCTCCTCCCAGACCGCCGCTCAGCGACTTGGCCTCGGTCGCCCCCAACGTCTCATGGTTGAGTACCCTGATCGTGGGCCTGTCGTAATACACTCGTATCTTGATCCTCGCGATGCTGTCGATACAGCTACCAACAACGCTGCTGCGACCGCCTCTAGCCGTCCGGGATCAGCGCCTGGGTCAAGCCACGGCCCCGACTCTAGAGC